GGCCACAAACTGTCGGGGTGGTGTAACAAAGCAAAAGCTAACTGATGCATATGGTATTTTAGTGCCATTTTTATAAGAGCCAAATGTGCTTCCTCTTCTGTCCTCTGCTAATTTTCCTATTGATTCATAGCAGCTGTACGAGTTTCCCGGGGCTGCCTCAACAAAGTACCACAAGCCGGGCGGCTCAAAACAACAGAAATGTATTGTCGCGCAATCTAGAGGCTGGAAGTTCAAAATCGAGATGTCAACAGGACTGTGCCCTCCCTGAAACCACGTAAGGGAACCCTTCCTCGCCAGCTTCTAGTGGCTTGCTGACGATCTCTGGCGCTTCTTGGCTTGTAGCCGCAAAGCTCCGATCTCTGCTTTCGTCGCTGCGTGGACTTCTGTGTCTCTGTCTTCACGTGGATGTCTTCTTATAAAGACACCAGTGCCAGTGGATTAGGGCTCACCCTACACCACTAGGACCGCATCTTAAGGGATGACATCGGCAACAACCCTATTCCAAATAAGGTCGCATTCTGAGAGCTAGAAGTCAGGAATCCACTACACCTCTTTCCTTCTTTTTCCTACTTTTTCTTTCTTTCTTTCTTTCTTTCTTTCTTTCTTTCTTTCTTTTTTTTTCTTTCTTTCTTTCTCTCTTTCTTTCTCTCTCTCTCTCTGTCTCTCTCTCTCTGTCTCTGTCTCTCTCTCTGTCTGTCTCTGTCTCTCTGCCTCTCTCTCTCTGTCATCGTTAATGTTGACGCATCTCCTTCTAGAGCACTGAAGACCAGGCTAGAGTTCAGGTGTAGCTCCTCTCTCTCTCTGTCTCTGTCTCTCTCTCTCTCTCTCTCTCTCTCCCCTTCTTCCTTGGGCTGAGGCACAGAATTTAATCCCTAACAGGAGCTTTTTATACCCTAGCAACACTAGCCTTGAATCGCATTTATTGTTTCTGCTCCTGCAGCGAGGTGGTGCAACTTCAGCGGCAAAGTGCTAGAGGCAGGAAACCAACCCTTTTTCTTTCTACAAACTCTGCAACTTGTTTCTTCTCTGGAACCCCTCTTCTCCCCAGGTCCCTGTAACCCCACGAAGCCAGAGAGAGGCGTGGCAAAGAGGACCAGTGGAGAACCGGATGGAAAGAGGCTGGGGACTTCTAGCTCCTGGTGCTTGCCCCGCCTTCCCCAGGAACAGCACCCCTCAGCCTGGTAGCTATGAGTGTGGGTGGCAGGGCCTAACTGCTTGAGTCCGAATCCTGACTCTCCATTTAAGTCATCCTAGGCAAGCGACTTAACCACTTGTATTAGTTTCCTGTTGCTGCTGTAACAAATTATGACAAATTTAGCTCCTTAAAGCAACAGGGATTTATTCTCTCATAACACTGAAGGTCAGAAATCTGAAACGAGTCTTAAGGGGCCTAACTCAAGGTGTTGGCAGGGTGGCGCTCCCTTGGGAGACGCTGGGTCTTTTTCAGCCTCTAGAGCCACCCCACTTATGTTCCTTCATTCTCGACCCCTTCCTGCCTCTTCAAAGCTAGCAGCAAAGCCTCTTCTCTCTCCGCCCCCATATTCCTCCATTTCTGTCCGTAGTCCAACGTCCACCTGCCTCCCTCTGTAACGATTCACCAAGTTATGTAATAAAGCACTCAGAACGGTACCTGGCCTAGCAGAAGCACTCAACGAGATTGAGACAGGGAGAGCCTCAGTTTCTCTGCCTGGAAAATGGGAGAAGAGGGGTGTGGACTCCAGGGGTTTCCCAGCTCTTTCACCCCCCTAAGGTGACTCCCCGTATGTCCCGTTTTTGCACAGGGAAAGGCGAGGCCTTGAAAGGAGACGTCCCGCATCCAGGAGGTGACCTCACATCTGGGAGGTGACCAGGCCAGGATGAGAAAGCCACATCAATGTCGCCGATTAAGCCTCCTGGAGTTGGGGAGGAAGTGGCTGCAGCCCAAGCCAGAGGCGGTCACTTCCTCAGGCAGGTGGCAAGAGGCTGAGGGGGTCCCAGACGGCACTCACACGCACATACACACCCACACACAGTGTCTGTCTCTGCGTCTCTACTTGTCTCTCTTTGAACGCAGTTGGGTGTCATTCTAACTCCCTCTGTCAAGCTCTGTCTCGATCTCTCTCTCTCCCTCCCTCCCTCCGCCCCCCTATTCCTCCCACCTATCCCCTTCTCTTTCTCTGCCCCTCTATTTCTGTCTCTGCCCATGTCTCTTATTTGCTGTTTTCTTATCTCTGTCTCTCTCCCTCTCTGATTCCTGAATCCGTCCGTGGCCTCTCGTTCTCTCCTGCCTCCCATCCCCCATCTCTAGCTCCATTTCTCTCACTGTCTCTCTTCCTCGTCTGCCGCTCCCTCTCTGTGTCTCAGTCTCTCTCCATCTCTCTCCCTCTCTGTCTCTGCAGGAGATTCTCCTTTCCTCAGCCCGGCAAGCCCCTGAAACCTGTGGGCCTCGCCCAGGACCCAGCAGGCAGGTAGGAGCGGGAGAGGCCCAAGTGAGTCACAGGGAGGCAGGGGCTGGCATTCCCGCCGCTTTTCTGGGATTGTGCACGGGCCTAGCCCCCTGCCTGCCCCCTCCCATAACACGTCACTGGACCTCACTGGTATGTGTCACTTGAGGGAAAGACAGAGAGAACAAGTCAGAGGGAGACAGAGACAGAGAAACAGAAAGAGACAGAAAGACAAAACAAACAAACAAACAGGCGGGCATGGAGAGATGAAAAACAGAGAGACAGGGATGGAGAGAGATCAAGACAAAGAAAAAGAATGAAACCGAAAGTCAGAGACAGACACAGAAGAAGAGAGACAAACAGAGATTTGGGGAGAACAGAGCCATCTGAGTTGGGGATGAGTCCAAGGTATTTCCTCATTCTTTATATAAAAGAAATTGCAGCCCAGAGTGGTGAGGTCATCCAGCCAGGAAGTGGTAATGTCAGACCTCACGGCTCCGTGTTACCTTGAAACCCGAGCTTCCCTTTCACTGACAGATGCCTCCCACCCTCCCCTGACCCATTTTGCAGCTGGGAAAAGCGAGGATCAGTAGAGTGAAGCCATCTGGCCAGGGTCACCCAGAAGCAAATGGCTGAGCTGGATCTCAAGCCCACCTGGTCCAACACCCCAACTTTCTATTTCTCTGCCTCACACCCATTGTGATCTCATTCAGTCTTCATGCCAACCCCAAGAGGGGCCCCATTTTCCACATAAGGAAACTGAGGTTTGAAAATGAGGGTATCTGTTAGCATAGGGTGACCCAGCCAGGGAGCGGCCAGCATGACAACGACAGACCTCAGACTCATGACGTGTCTCTACCTCTTTTCCCACCCCACGGGGAGGAAACTAGGGCCAGAGTCTAGAGCTGGGTGCAACAACAATTTTAACAGCAGTTACAGTTTCTTATCCAGCACCTACTATGTGCCAGGCGCTGCGGCAAGCATCTTGGGTGCATTCTTTTACGTCCCTAGCACATCATCTTTGGGAGAGAGGCACTTGTTACCTTTACTTTCCAGATAAGAAGCTCGAGGCACAGAGAGGTTAAGTAACCTGCCCAAGGCCACACAGCTAGTGAGCAGCTGGAATTTGAACTCTCAGCCTAGTGCCAGCCCCCACTAGGGTAGACTGCTTAAAGCACTAGGCTAGACTGCTTCTTAGGAGAGAAGATTTCTTTGGGACTTTTCTTACCTTATCTTTAAATTATTATTAGCTCAAGGCTTCAATGAATGAGTAAGTATCACAATAGTATCATCGTTACTGTAGCAGTAGAGGTAGTTACTTTGTCCACGATTCTTTCTATTCCTGATTCTGTTCTAGCCCCACCCAACCTCTCTGCTGTTCTTAGATCATCCAGCATGCTCCTGCCTCAGGGCTTTTGCACTGGCTGTTTCCTCTCCCTGGAACCCTTCCCTGACTGTTTGCCTGAATCATTCCCTCACCACATTCTATTTTTCCTCAAATGCCACCACCCACTCAGGGAAAGCCCTCCCGGATTACTCCACTTAAACAGACCATGCCTCATTTACACCTTACACCTCCTTCGACCTGGCTTTTCTCCATTTCACTCATCACTACCTGACAGGTATAGATTAGATGACAGATATCTACTCCCCACTGTCACAAGGGCAGGGACTTTGCTTTGTTTCCTGCTGTGTCCCCAGCTCCTGGACCAGTGCCCAGCATTCAGTAAATATTGAAGGAATTTGTTGGCCTCTCCATGTGGGCCAGTCCCTGTTTAGGAATTTCACCTGCATTAAATTGCTCTGATTGGTCAGAAGCATTCTGAGATGGAAAGACTACCTTTTGCATTTTATTTTACTTTTTAAAAAAATTTATTATGAATCTTTACAAACACAGAATAGGAAAGAGAAATGCATGTGTTACCTTGATCTAATTGATACAAATATTTTGCTATTTCGTCTTTCATTTTTCCTAAAGTATATTAAAGTAAATGCAGACATCGATGACATTCACCTCTAAATATTTCAGTGAGCTGTAAAAAATAAGAACGATTTTCCCACATAACCACAAAACCAGAATCTATTTTTTGGCTGAAGCATTTAAAGATAAATTAGAGACATTATATTATTTCATCCCCCAAAAATTCAGCGTTCATCTCTACATGATAAAGACATTTTTTTTCCCCATATAACCACAATACCATTCATTATCCCTAACAAAACTAACAAAAATCCTATATTATCTAATAATCAGCCACAAATTTACCATGGGGACAAGTTTTAATCCGAGGGGTGAGGTTCCCTCACCTAAGATCCCATAGCAGAAAGAGATAGAACTGCAATTTGCGCCTTGGAACTCTAGGGACAGAGCTGTGACCATAGCCAAGTGAGTGCGAGCAGAGCCAGCTCCCCCCACCTCCACCACACACACACACACAACACACACACCACACACACACACACACACACACACACACCTTTCTACCCCCTAAGTTCTGACACACACACACCTCCCCCCACCCCCCCCAGGCTGGCCGCGCCCTGGTAAAGGAAGTTTGGAGGGGGAGTGGACGTAGGAGATGGGGTGGAGTGCCCACGCATCTGGGGCTGACTCCGCTCTTTCGCAAATCCTCTGGGAGGAGCCCCCGAGGCCACAAAACTGTCTCCTTCCCGGGGCCGGACTCAGAGGTGCAGGGAGGCCGCGGACAGGAGCCGCTGCTGGATATGGGCGTCCCGCTGCTGCTGCCGCTGCTGTTCCTGGTTCAGACCTGCATTCCAGGTAGGGCCGGGTCCCCAACGCCTGCCCTGGGAACTGAGTCTGATGCTGGGGAAGGGAGGAGTCGGGAGAAGAGGGGGTCTCGGGAGTCTGACGAGTTGCAGGATGAGGGGGCTCAGTTCCCAGTGCCCCCACTCAAATAATAATTGTGCTGCTGTCTGCAGCCCCACACAGCACAGTACCACAGGCACACGGTACTCAGGAAATAGTAGTTGAGCGAAGCCCTTCGACAACAGTTACCGTTTAGCGGGTGCGCTCTTTATTCCAGGCCCCCTTCTAAGCTCCTTCCTTGCAGTTTAGAACTGGGCGGGCCGAACTATTATGCCCTGTTTCGCAGAAAAGGAAACTGAGGAACAGAGAGGTTAAGTAACTGGTCCGAGGTCACACAGCCAGTCCTTGAATAAGTGGGATTCTGACTCCCGCAGGCGCGTCCCACTGCGCTCTCCACTCGGCTGGATCCCCCACGCCCCCTGAAAGACAGGACAGCACCTCATTTTACATAAGGTGTGAGGGGAGTTAGGCCGAGCGTCGCAGAGCCAGGGGCTGGAGTCCCTCGAGGACCTTTCCCTTTCACTATCCTTTAGCTTCGCCTCCTTCCCCCGGAAAATGTAGGGGGAAAGGCTGACAAAATAAGAAGGAAATTGAGAAGGAACTGAGTCAGGGCGGGGTTAGGTGCGGGGCGGGGGTTTGCGGAGGAGTGGGGGAGGTTGAGGTTGGGGAGTATTTCGGCAATGAATAACCCGGAAAGTTCCCCCGACTGTTAGAGCCCAAGAATGAGTAATGACTGGACGATTCCGAATTTGGGTTGGTGAAGAGAACCACAGGAGAGGCCTGGTGGGCGGGAATAGGCCAGGGAGCCCGGCTAGCGGGCTCAGCAGTAACCCTGGAGAGGAGCTAGTGGGCGGGGTTAGAACCTCGGGAAAGAACCAGAGGGCGGGGAGAGAACCTTGGGGCGGAGCTAATGGGCGGGGCTAGAACCTCAGGGCAGAGCTAGCACGTGGGGTTAGGCCCTCGGGGCGGAGCTAGAAGGCGGGGAGAGAAACTGGAGGAGCAATTAGTGGGCGGGGCTAGAACCTCGAGAGGAGCTAGTGGACGGAGAGAGAACCTCCGGGAGGCAACAGTAAATGCTTACAGTATCTCCAGAAGGCTGACGGGCGGGGTTAGAATTTCTGAATGGACTGATGGGCTGGGAGAGGACGTTGAGGAGAGGCTATGGAGGGGCATGAAACCTGGGGACCTTAGTTGGAGAATAACTAGTAGGGGCAGGGGGAACTGGGGGTCGAACGTAAAGATGGCCAGAGTTGGGTGAGGATGGAAGTAGGGGAGCCTCGGAGAGCTGGAGGGGCAGAATAGGCTGAGGGCCTGCGGGGCGGGGAAAAGACTTAAATGGGAGCAGGGCTACATGGTCCAGATTGACAGAGAGGATGGGGATAGGACTTTCAACAGAGGCCCCGCAGACAGATTTCAAAGGAAAGGAGCGCGGGCAGGACTTTAGGGAAGGACTCGTAGGCAGAGATTGAACCTTAGGGTAGAGGGGCGGTGGTAGCGCATGGGGCTAGAGATAGATTAGAAGCGCAGCTAGCTGGACCTCCAACCCAGCGCTGGAACGCAGAGGCTGGCAGAACGTGGAGCGTGAACCTAAGGTGCACAGGGCCTGGGGACTTGGTCCTGGTATTGGGATACGAAGGGTCGAGAGGGGATCCTGGCGCGGAGCTATGATAACCTCTCCTGTCCTCTCCTTCTCCCCTCAGCCACCTGGGGCCTGCGGTGCATGCTGTGTGAGAGGACGGAGAATTGCCAGGTGAAAGAGTGGGACTGGCCAGGATCTCTGCAGGACCACGGTCCTGCGCATATGGGAAGGTGAGCTCCCCCACTCCAGCGCGACAGGAAATGCAAGTGACCAAGAAACCTCATCAGCTATCAGGGAAATGCAAGCGAAAAAGACAAGGAGCCCGTTTCACACACACCAGACTGACAAACATGTAAAAATCCGACAATACTGGGGTCCATGAAGATGTGGGGCTGCAGACCCTGCTTTTAGGGGGTCAATTGGTGCATCCACCTCACAGAGCTATTTGACAATATCTAGTATAGATGAAGATTAGAATATCCTACAGCTAGCAGTGCAATTCCTAGGAATATAGAAACACCAAAGAACGTTTACCACGTGTGCCCAGGGACACATGTATAAGAGTGTTCTTAGCAGTAATGTTTGTGATATGGAAAATTGGAAACACCCTAAAGTCACTTAGCAGCAGAGAAGAAAATTATAGTATAATTACATAATGGAATACTACACAGAAGTTTAAATGAACTGGAGCTTCAGGTATTAATGTGGATACATCTCAAAAACATAAGGTTGAGAAAAAAAAGCATGTTGCAGAGTATGATACCTTTTAACATTAAGTGTAAAATGTGTAAAGCACTAGTATATGTTGTTATGCATACAAAGTATGAGAATTACCTACACTGGTAGCCTTTGGACAGGGCATAGGGGAATGTGATTGGGGGGTGGAGGGTAACCAGGGGGCTTTCATTGTATCTTTTAGTTTATTTTTAAAAATATATGAAACAAATATAGCAAAATGCTAATATTTTATGAAGTTAGGTGATGAAGACACAGTATTTATTATATCATTGGCTTAGATTTTTGAGTAAGCTGGAAGCTTTTTCCTTTAAATTTTCTAATAGAGGCCTCTCCCTGCTAAGATCACTAAGCTGAGAGGGAAATGTAAATGGACCTAGAAGGTCTCAGTGACAGTGCTGTCACTGAGAGAGAGCAGGCTCCCTGGAGGGAGGAGGATAACTCTAGAAAAGACAGAGTTGGACCCAAACAAGAGTAGTGGCCTGGCAGGGATCAGCCCTGGGAGTAGATGACCTTAAGACCAGGAGTGTTAGAGGCTGGTTGGGCCCCAGGGGAGCCTCTGGGGTGACAAAGATACATCCCTCACAGGAAGTGAAGAGCTGGAGGTGGTAGAAAGAGGCTGTGCCCACTCAGAGAAGACCAACAGGACCATGAGCTATCGACTGGGCATGCAGATCATCACCCTGACAGAGGCCGTGTGTGGGTCAAACTTGTGTAACCAGCCCAGCTCTGGTGAGTAGGGCAGCCCTCGCCATGTCCAACCCCGAAATCATCCCCAACTCAACCTCATCGTCATCCCAATCTTGTGCCACCCCGACCCCAACTCCACACCTTACCCCAGGACCAACCCCAACTCAAACCTTTCTTTATCTCATACGCATCTCCAGCCCAACCCCATTTCCAAACCCAACTCAACCTCACTTCCAATCCCATCCCCAAATTCATTTTATCCCCAACACCCTCCAACTCCAACCCATCCTTACTTCAAACATATCTCTAATCCCATCCTCAAATCAACTCAAACTATCCCAGATCCCACCCCCAAACTATCCCAAATCTCACCTCAAACTGTCCCCAATCCCACCCCCAATCCCACTCTCAACTACTGTCCCCAATCCCACCCCCAATTACACACTTGTCCCCACCTTAACTCTATCCTATCCCATATGTTTGTTTTTATGATTGTTTTTATGATCGTTATGTATAAGATGCAACCACTGTCACACATACACCTACTCGAGAGGTAAATGAGATATCTTACTGATGTTTTGCCATCTAAGTGTTTCCCATGGGACAAGCGATGGTTGAAGCAGTAGATACTATAAGATCCAAAGACCAGTGATACCAGAGACTCAAAATTCTTAAGGGAAGTCAAAAAGGAAGGCGTCACAAGCTGCAATGGGCTCAGAAATTTCCCTAGGATAGATGGTCCTTGACTTGGGCAGTGAAAAAGAATACAAAGAAACGTCCAGAAGTCCTTATGTTGAGGTTCATGGTTTTAGGCTCTAGTTAATTCAATAAAAAGACTTAGGCTTCAGTTCCCCAAGTTCCCACAGGAGAGGAAGGGTGGGGGAGGAATGGATCCATGCTGCATGGTCGGGCAGAGGTTCCTTTTTCTGGCCCTGGTGAGAAAGGAAATTGGTTAAGGATAGTCCAGTCACAATGCCGTCAGTAAGAGCCTGTGTTTGCACATTTTTCCCCTTGTTCTTCATCCATCCTGACTTCAAACTTTTATCTGTTGGTGGAAACTGAATCACATGTTCATTTTTAAGGAAGTGCCAAGATAGAGGATGCCGGCTTCTTCTCTTGGTTAGATGTGCTTAAGGAAAGCACTAATAATTGCATCTAAGTAATGCTTCTAATAAGAGATAATATTTAACAACATCGGTCAGTGCAGAAGGGATTGATCAATCAGAACAGACCTCTGGAGGCCCCCTGCTGAGTCTGGTGTTACCTCTAAAGAGTTAAAGAGCTGATGGGTCTTGGGAACACAAGGATTCTAAGAGAGCTTGGGCAGCAGCTATCAATTCAGTAATTTAATAACCTACGTACCTCTGTCAGCCCCATTTCTAATGCCATCTTACCCTACTTGTGGTGACTAGAATAGTTGGTTAAACCATATCTTGAACTTACGTGATACTGGGACACAGCAGTGACCAAGATAGCCTTGGGCCTTGCCCCCATGGGGCTCACAGCCCAATGGAGGGAGGGAAGTGACAGACCTGTCATCATATAGTGACTTCCCAGATTACTCAGAGCTGGGATGGCAGAAGCACAGGCAGAGGGGTCAGAACCATAACAGGAGCAACAGAGACCAGGGAGGTCAGTGCTGTTATGGAGAAGCACAGTCCAGGACTGTCAGGGATGAGATGGGAGAAACAGAGGCCAGAGCGATCAGGGCTGGGACGAGTGAAGAGCAGGGGCTGTGGAACCCTAGAGGAGACACTCGACTCAGGACAGGGAAAGTTTCCCATAGGAAATAACAGCTAAGCTGGATCTTGAGGGATGAATATGATCGGATTTGTATTTTTTAAATATATTATTCTGACCTTAGAGTGGAGGAGAGATTGGAGGGAAGCAGCCATGAAGAGAAGGTAGAAGGGAGACCAACTTGGAGGTGGGCGAGGTTATCTAGATGAAGAAGGAGGAGGCCAGATTAGAGCGTCAGCCATGGAGAGGGAGAGAAGTGGATAGATTTAATAACTATTCACCAGGCAGATGAGCAAGACTCAGTGATGGATTAGACATGACGGTCGGTTTGCAGTTCTGATCGTGATGGAGTCGCTGTAACCTCCCGCCAATGGCAGCTGGTAAAGCTGGACAGATTACAAATGGTTATTGGAAGTCAGATGAAGAAAGGAACTTGAGGTGCTATAGTTTTTGAAATAAGGGAAGTACAGGAATTGAATTCCACAGACAAGCTGGAGATTTCCTTGAGTGCACTTTCCAATTTGCTGCTGCGGAGGGGAAGTAGAACCCAAACAGAAAGACATCGTCGCTAGACCAAGAGGTTGGAGCCTAAGGCTGCCAGAGTGTCTGGAAAATGAGAGGTAAAATCCTGGAATGCATGGAACCACAGAAAAGGGAGTCCCCAGATCTGCAAATTACTTTCTTCAAGTTATTGGCAAGCTGTACATGTATAGGGTGAGACTCCAAGACACTCAGCGGAAAATAGTATCTGGGAAGCTACAGAACCGAGCAAGGTTTCCAGCAGGGACAGGATGCTGGTGAGACCAAAGTTGCCAAGTTGGCAAGAGAGGCCTTGGCACTAAGCGCAGGCTCTCCCCTGAGACCACACAGGAGTAAAGGCAAAGCTGAACTAGACCAGTCTCCAAAATGCCTACTTTCAATCTTTGACCAGAAGAAAAACGAACCCTCGTTGTAAGAAGGGAACATCATTTAGAGCCTTCACAAATTTTCATCTAGAATGTCTCTCATCTAATCAAGACTTACAAGGGAGCTCAAAGAAAATTAAAAGGACCAATTGACTGGAAAGCAGGAGATAAATCCAACAATAGAAACAGACTCATAATGATTCAGAGATTGGAGTTATTAGACAGGGAACTTTAAAATAGCCATGATCGATATATTTAAGAAAATAGAAGAAAGGGTACATTTTAGCAGAAATCTGGAATCCATTCTTTAGAAGAGTGAAACATGAAATATAGAACATTGACTGAAATTTGGAACACGATGCTTCATAGAAATCAGAAATAGCAGAGAAAAAGGATAAAAGAACTAGAAGACAGGACAGTAGAAGTATCCAGATTTATGCCTAGATATGGAGAATCATGGGGTCTCCCAGGTTTCTGCCCTGGGACTTGGATGGGGATGCCTCAGAGATGTGGAATTCAGAAGAAGGAGAAGATCTGGGGAGAAGATGGAGAGTTGCATTTGGGGCATGTAGAGGTTCAGGTGTTTGAGGGATGGCCAGGGGCCTCCAGGAGGCAGCTGGGTGTATAAGTGTGGAGCTCAGAGAGAGCTTGATGAGTTCCCAGCACGTAGGTGGAAATGAAGCCATGTCACTAGGTAACAACATCCCCATGGGAGAGAGCGTGTACTGTGAGAAATGAAAAGGGCCTGAGACAGGACCCCGAGAATCGCCCACATTTAGAAGAGCGACATAAGAAGAAGAATTCCCAAAGGAGACCCATGGACGATATGAGACAGCTATTTTGGTGATGATGGCAATTTGCGTTTTCATTTTCATGGAAGTTCATGTGAGGAGACATGGGTTGTTGGCCTTTTAGTTATTTTTCTCTGGGCGGGGGTAGAGATTTGGCCTTTGATGTAATCGATTCGCCTAATTACAGCTAATGGCCCGCCAGTTGAAAGCGTTGGCTGAGACAGCCCTCTCAATTCTCTAAGACTTGGCCCACACTCGACCTGGATATCTGGGGTCAGGAAGGAAAGGCGTGCCAGACGTGGGAATTGTGTGAGCCAAGGCCTGGGCAAGGAATGACTGGTGAATCCAGGGAAAAGTAATTCATCCACTTGGCCTGAACTGGAAGGTCCTTGTGAGAGGCAAAGTTATCACAGATCAATCAAGCGAGGCTCCGGTCCCTGGCATAATTGGGTAGTGTATCAATTATGCTACATTATAGATTGCTCCCAAACTTAAAACAAAAATAAGCATGTATTATTTCACAGTTTCTGAAGGTCAAGCAAAAATCTTGGAGTGGCTTAGCTAGATGGTTCTGGGTCTTCCATGTGGTTGTCGTCAAGATCACAACTGGGCTACAGTCATCTGAAGACTCTCAAGAGAGCTTCACTCACATGGATGACCGGTTCCCATGGCTTTGGCAAAGCCCTCAGGACCTTGCCATGGGGCTGCTTGAGTGTCTTTACAACATGGCAGCTGGCTCAGGGAGAGTTGGGCAAATGACCTTGCCATGGGGCTGCTTGAGTGTCTTTACAACGTGGCAGCTGGCTTCCCCGAGAACAAGTGCTCCAAGGGAGAGCTGGGCAAACGTTGCGGTGTCTTTTACGATCTAGCAGAGAAGTCACATACCATCATTTCCACGGTATCTTACTGGTTACACAGGTCAGCTCTATTCTTCATTCCTACACAAAGACATCCCTACCAGGAACCAGGGACCATGGGCCGTCTTGGAGACTGGCTACCACAGGGAACATTACAAGGGCTTTAAGTAATTGTTCATTCATTCATTGATTCCTTCCTTCATTCATTTAGTAAATATTTATTTAACATCTTCTCTGGCTCAGACTTTCTGCTGAGTGATGCTGGGACACAGTAGTGACCAAGACACCCTTTGGCCCTACTCTCCTGGGAAAAAGAGTCCACTGAGGGAAACAAACCTGTCACCACCAAACAGGGATGACTCAGAATGGTGGGGCTGGGATTGGGGAGCCCAGAGGAGCACCTGATCCAACCTGGGAGGTCCGGGAGAGCTTCTTGGAGGAGGTGAAATTGGAGAAGATGATACCCAAAAGATGAGTAGGAAATAGGAAAGTAGGGAGCAAGGGAATAGCAGATGCCGAGCTGGATCTCAGTCAGCACGTATATTTAGGTACTGTGGGAAGTTATGTGGAGGTGAGTCTGAGGAACTAGTGGAGGGAGATGAGACAGGAGAGGTGGCCAGTCTTTGATGGGACTTAAATGCCACATTGAGAATCGTAGATTTCATTCTGAGGGCACTGCGGAGCCATGGTGGGGTTTTGAGTAGAGAGGAGACAGGGTCAGATTTGAGTATTAAAATCATCCTAACGGGGCCATGTGAGGATGCACTGGGCTTGGAGTAGGGTGGCAAGAACGGAAACTTGGAGGCCAGGGAGGAAGCTGGTGTTGAAGGTCTCAGTTGGACCTGGTCATGGGGCTGGAAAGGAGGGAGTGGGTTCTAGAAAGATTCAGAATGGCCAGGGCTTGATGATCAGCTGAAGGGTGGGACGAGGAGGAACCGATGCTGAGGCGAATTCTCAAGGGAGTTGGATCTCCAGCACTCTCCCCATGGAGTCTCACCCTCCTACCCGACCCCAAACAGGCCGAGTTCCCACCTTTCCCCGAAGCCGTTTCCTTGAATGTGCTTCCTGCGCCTCATCAGACCTGAGCTGTGAGAGGGGCCGGGACCAGAGCCTGCAATGCCGCAGCCCTAGAGAACAGTGCCTGGAGGTGGTGACCCACCGGAGCCTGGAAGGTGAGTCCCAACCTGCCAGCAACTTCTCCTCCCTGTTTTGCTCCTCCTAAGGCCACACTTAACAACGACCCCCCCAAAAAAGGTATTTAAGAAGGTAGAAAGTTAGTTCTCTCACACACAAAAAATCCAGTGGTAGGAAGTCCAGGGCCACTAGGATAGTCACTAGGAACCCAGATGCCTTCTCATTCCTTATATGTTGCTTCCATTCTCAAGATTGCCTCATAGTCCAAGATGGCTGCCAGAGTTCCAGGCCTCATGTCCAAGTTCCAAGAAGGTGGAAGGGGGAAAGAAGGGGCAAAAAAGGGGCACCTCTCCTTTTATAAGGGTTCTTCTTTCCAGAAGTCCCATAAAACCTTTCTAATTCTGTCATATTGCCCAGAACTTAGCCACATGACTAAACCTACAGAGACTAGAAAACGTATCTTTTGTCTAGATATATGGCTGCCCCAAAGAAAATGAGGGTCCTATAATGAGGGGGTGAAGCAGATAACGGACAGATGACTGCTGTGGTGGGCGAATCCAGTCTCAGCCCCTCATCGACAATCTGACCTCTCTCCTCTGCCCCCCACAGGGATTCTGGAGGATGAGCGCCATACTCGTGGCTGTGGCAACCTTCCTGGCTGCCCAGGCCCCACTGGCTTCCACAACAACCACACCTTCCATTTCTTGCAGTGCTGCAACACCACCAAATGCAATGGCGGCCCAGGTAAGGGGCGGGGGATCGTGTGAGGACTGAGGTCTGGGATCAAGGTGGGGAGGTGCGCTCAAGCACACTGCTGCTTGCAGGCAAACCCCTCCTCTCTGGGTCTCTGCTTCCTCCTCTGAAAGATGGACATAGAAAGCCCTTCCTCAAAGCAGGATTTTGTGGGAATTCAGTGAGGCTATTGAACCTTCACCAAGATCCACATTTGATGCTTCCTACATCCTCTCGTATCTTTCTGTTGCTCACCACCCTGGTGGTCCAAGCCACCATGACCTCTCTCATAGATAGTTATAATGACCTCCCCTCTGGTCCCCCTGCTCCACTCCTGCCATGCTACAGCCAGTGGTCAACAGAGCAGCAAGGGAGATTTTTTAAAAAAATGTAAATCAGATTGTGTATCTCCTTCCTCAAGCACCTTAAGGACTTCCCCTTGCTCTTTGAATAAGACCCAGAGGCTATCCTATGCCCTATATGTAATCATCTTCATTTAGTTTCTGCAACTGCCAAACTCCACGCGGCCTCAGGACCTTTGCACATGCAGTACCCTCCACTAGGAACACATCTGTCCCAAGAGTTCACCTGTCTGGCTACTTCATGTTCTTTAGGTCTCAGCTTTAAAGTATGGTCCTCAGTGAAGCTTTCTCTGTTCCTCCCCTTCAATATTCTCTAGATCCTTCGTGTTATTATTCTGTCTCTAGAACTTTCTGCAGTGATGAAATGTTCTATATCTTTAATGTGCAATATGGTTGCCACTACCACAAAAGGCTATGAAGTACTTGAAATATGAACTGAATTTTGAATTTAATTTAATTTAATTTCAATGTAGATACAATCACATGTGTGTGGCTAGTGGCTATACTATATGGGACAGTGTCGCTCTAAATTTTAAGTTCTGAGAGGACAGGGACTGTTTCGTCTTACGCAGCTGCTTACTCAGTGCCTGGTCAGATTGGGGTGCATGGGAAGCTGGGAGTCGGGATTTCTCTCACTGAGAACCCCGCCAAAAGAGAGTGCCATTCCAAAGTGTGACCACAAGGGGGCTCCATGACCTCTCAGGTTGAGATTTGGGAATCAGTGACAGAAAGGAAGACACCCCTCCCCGCATCTGCACCCTGTACTAATTTCGTGTGTCTTTGTCACTTGTCTTCTCCCAAGTCCTGGAGCTTCAAAACCTACCGCCGAATGGCCTGCAGTGTTACAGCTGCGAGGGCAACAGCACCCACGGGTGCTCTTCTGAAGAGACCTCTCTCACCGCCTGCCGAGGCCCCATGAATCAGTGTCTGGAAGCCACAGGCACTACTGGTGAGGCCCTTTGGGAACCCTGGAGGGGACACTTAACACTTACTGGGTGTCTTCAAGAGGGTGACTTCCAGTTTAGCTGAACTTAATTGAGGTGGATCTTCCTTTGAAAAAGATAGGACTTCCTTCAGAAGAGTGTAAATCGTAGTAAGGAATTAGGATTCGTCCATTAGGAAATGGATATTTCGGCCATAGAATTGTGGGCTTGTTGCGGGATGGGACTTCCAGTAGGTGGGTGGGGCTTTCTGTGGACATCACGGAGCTTCCATCCTTTGACCTGGAAAGGTCTCTGTTCCAGTGGCTCTCAAAATTTTTGGTCTCAAGATTCCTTCACACTCTTAAAAGTTATTGTTTATGTCAGTTATATCTATAGGTATTTACTGCGTTAGAAATTAAGACTGAGAAATGTGTACAAGATGTAGTTATTCGTTTTAAAATAACAAAAACTCATTACATGTGAACATATCTTTATGAAAAAAATAACTATATTTTCCAAAATGAAAAAATTTAACGAGAAAGACTGGCATTTTTCTACAGTTTTGCAAATCTCTTTAATGTCTGGCTTAATAGAAGACAGCTGGCTCCTCATTTCCGCTTCTGCATTCAGTCTGGGGCGACATCGCATGTCTTGGTGTTTCTGGAAAACCCTATTGTACACAGATAAAAGCAAAAAAGCCAAATGGCGTTTTAGCATTATTATGAGAATGATTTTGACTTCACAGCTCCCCTGGACCACACTTAGAACTTCTGCTTTCTCCGGGTGGCATCTACCACAAGGGGGCACGTCACCCAGTGAGAAGCTCAGGCCCCAGAGCTGGGCGGCTCACACAATATTCTCTCTCCTCAGAGGTGGAGAATGCCAGCTACACAGTAAGGGGCTGTGCTACGCCCTCATGGTGCCAAAGCCTCCACGTGGCTGAAGCCTTCAGGCTGACCCATCTCAACGTCTCGTGCTGCTCTGGAAATGGCTGTAATCACCCAAACCTGGATATCCAGCCTCGCGTAGGGGGTGCCCCTCGGACTGGCCCCGTCCACCTGAGCTTCACCGTCACTCTACTTATGACTGCCAGACTATGGGGAGGCACTCTCCTCTGGACCTGAACCCCACGCTCTCCCTGCCCTGGCTGGATCCAGGGGACTCCTTTGCCGTTCCTCAGCTCCCAGCCCTGCAGTCTTGCTGTGTGACTTCAGGCCAGTGTGCTATCTTTTCTGGGCCTCAGTTTTCCTAGCTGTGAAAACACCTGTCTCACAGAATTATGAGAACCTGAGGAGAAAAACTGGAGAAAGGCTGCGGGCCAGCAGGAGCGCTCTTGTTATTATTAATATTGTTACCGCTATTGTTGTTATTAATTAATATTTGTTTTATTTAATATTTTATACTTATCTAAAGATTTTTGTACCAGTGAACAAGGCCAGATCTGCCCTTCTTTGTAGCATCTGTCTTTGGGAGGACGAATGGGGAGCACCATTCCTCAGGCTCCTGGAATTAGGGGCCACTTGGTAAGACCCAGGCATCTGAGGCCCTCACCTTAGAAACAGTCTCATGTGGGCTTCCACCCTAAACCACCCGCAAATCTATTTCTGGGCTCCAAATGCAACCTTCTAACTCACCTACCCAAGCACTAACTTTCCAGTGTCTTCTCCCAGACAACAAAGGTCAAGAATACGTTGTTGTTCTAAGGAGATATGCCAGCATTTCTTGAGGGCTCTGAGGCAGGAACGCCCGTGATGCACTGCACCGAGAAATAAGGACAGGATGGCATTGCCCCTGGTACTCTGGGTGCAGGAGATAAAGGCTAGGCTATATTTCCTAGGATACCCTCAGAATGACTGAGGGAAAAAAGCAGAACTACCATTTCAATGGCACTCTCGGAGCACAGTATTGAAGAATTTGTGTTTCCCATGATTCACTGAGGCAAACCCATAGAAACAAAATTACATTCCCCGTGGGGCCCTATGGCAAATGAAGAAAAAGATAAGACATCTTCCATGGGGGCAGATGAAGGACAGGGCTTCTTTTTAGGATCTCTTCAAATCACATATCACCAACCGTCATTGTGATGGCTTAAAGAGCTGAAGTCTGTATCTCTACCTCTTAAACATGGATGGCTCAATGACTGCTTTGACCAACAGAACGTGGTAGCATGTGAATGAATGCCATGCCATGTTCTGGGTCCAGGCTTTCAGGAACTGTCTGGTTCTGGAGAAACCAGCTGCCATGTAAAAATCCTCCTTCAATGAGACTGCCATGCATTGGGGACACCCCATCTACTTATGCATGGATGCCATATGGAAAGAGAGCCACAGATGTTACAACCATCTCGGCCCAGGCTCCAGGCGGGTGGGCGAGGAGCTCCCTGCGACATTGCGACCCCAGCAGACGTCAGTTGTGGAAGAACAGGAAACCCAGCTGCTATAATAATACTACACACTGACAGGCTAGATGGCTGCAAACAACAGAAATTTGTTTTCTCAGTTTTGGAGGCCAGAAGTCCAAAATCAAGGTGCACGCCTTCTCTAAAGTCTCTGGGGAAAAATCCTTCCTGGCTTCTTCCTAGCTTCTGGTGGTGGCTGACAATTGATGTCCCTTGGCTTACAGCTGCATCACTCCGATCTCTGCCTCTGTCATCAGTCACATGGCCTTCTTCTCTGTGAATGTAGCTGTGCATCTCCAAGTCTCTCTTGCTCTCTTTATAAAGACACCAGTCATGGATTTACGGGTCCTCCCTAATCCAGTCTGACCTCACCTTAACTTAATCTCATCTGCAAAGACCCTATATCCAAATAAGGTCACATTCATAGATCCTGAGGGTGAGGACTTCAACATATATTTTGAGGTGACACGATTCAACCCACACCACCAGTCAATAGCCAGCACCAAGGTTTCAGACATACGGCCCCCGATGAACCATCCCATCCATCTCCAGCTGTTCAGGCCAGCCCGTTTTGGCCCCAGTCCATTGTGGAGGCAGATCCATATTGATGCTACTGTGCCTTGCGGAAATTCCTGACCCACAGAGCCATAAAATAAAAAGGTTGTGGTTTTGTGCCCCTTGATTTTGGGTTATTTTGTTATGCTGCGGTGGTTAACTGCAATGGTCATTTGTTTATTTGTTTGTTTGTTTGTTTGCTTACTCTCCCCACTCAAATCTCCATAGAGGGCAAGTCCTTTTATTTGCTCTTAACTCTCTTTCCAGTGCCTAGAATAGGTACCTGGGACATGGCAGGTGATGAAGAAAAGGAGGGAAGAAAGGAAGGAAAGACTACATCTTCTATGGTATCTGACAACAAAAACTGGGCTAGGACTCTATTTCCCATGATGCGCTACAGCATTGATGAGGCCAAGATGACATTTTCTGAGATTCTCCATAATTAAAATCGAGGATAGTTTCACCTTTGCTATGATTCCCTACGACAGAATTTGGAGGCTAGGATTACATCCACCGTGGTGCCCCGCAACTGAGATTGGAGGCTAGGACCACATTTCCCATGATGCCCTATACAGGGGATCAGAAGATAGAAATACATGTCCCATGATGCCCTACGGCAGATATTGAGGCTAGGATAAATTTCTCACAATGTTCTACACCAGAGTTTGTAATCAGGACCTCGTTGTTAATGGCTCCCAAGATTTTGTTCAGGGATCTTGGTTGCTAGAAGTAAAATCTATTTAAGCTGACTTAAGCAAAAATGATGATGTTATTGGAAGTTTAGAATCCAGGCAAGAGCTAGGTCTCTGGGCCTCAGCAGGGACAGGAAACAGAATTGAAAAACCTGTGTGAAATCAAAGTTGTCTCCCTTTTGTAAAATCTCTCTGACTCTGTCTCTCTCTGAATGCATGGCTTTCCTTGTGGGTTTTCACTTTATTTTTCTATCTCTCCACGGACAACCTTCTTCTGCTTTACACATGGTAGCCAAAGATGCCCTTGAAATGCCAAGAACTACTGGGTCTCGGCTTTTAAATTTTAGCGGACAGACTCTGACGGGGTCCGGTTTGGGTCAGGGCTCTGTCTATGACCCCTACTACTAAAGCCAGAGAAGCTCACATCAAAGACACCACACACATTTTTCAGGTTTTAAACAGGCATCCACTACTTCAGTTTTCATGGTATTTAGTCCATTTGGCCAGAGCTGGGAAAACCACCTCATTGAGAGAGATCCTATCATGAGGATGGGGAAGCAAATGGAAAAGAAGACAAAAACTTAGAATGTTTTACTATGCAAGAAGGGCTGCCTCCATGTTTTCTGCGTGAATCACAAGCAATAGGGTCACCAGGGTTGGATGTAACAGTACACCCAACTTGGGTTGAAACAAAGAGGAAATTGATGATCTCACATAACAAGAGACCATGAATTAGGGTGTTTCCTGGGTTGCCCAGTTCAATGTTGCAAAGAATCCATTCAGGTTTGGTCACTTTCTGGCCTCAATATGGCTGCTGCAGTTCCAGACATCACACCCACATTCAGAGGCAAAAACGAAGAAACATCTCTACTTGGGTGTCTTTTTTAAAACAAAGAAAAATTATCCCAAAATACTCAGGCCGACTTGCCCTCACATTTTATTCACCTGACTTATTTTCTACCCTTATGCCTATGACAGTCATGGAAACGAGACATGAAACCAAATTATTTGGCAAAGTATATTCAGACCCCACTCTCGGGGTTTCCCCCACTTCACCTGGCTGTTAAAAGAAAGGTGGCTGCCTGACCAAAATTAGGATTTTCTTAAGAAAGAACAAAGGGGAAGGGAATGTATATTAGGAACAAACAAACAAACAAACAAACACTGAGTCTTCCTCCTGTACAGAAAAAAAAAACCCAGTTCTTCCCTACTGTGTCTTTCTCCTGTGCGTTGCCTTTATTTTCACACTACTACCACATTCATAACATTTCTGGTCACCAGTTATGGAAGAGGGGTTTTCCATACTAATTAATTCTCTGTGACACTGGCTGGATGTTCTACAACTTAAGTCAATTCTGACACTATCTACCTGGAGATAGCATCAGGTCCCATAGGTTAAGGGCTCAGTCCCATAAGACCACTCCCCACTTCAGATGCCAGTGAGAACATTCTGACTAACTGGCCAGAGCTGGGAAAACCACTTCTGACTAACCGGCTATAAATTAGAGGTTACCATAACCCCCTCTTCAGGTTCGATTAGGGTGGCTCATAATAATAGTTATATTTACCAACTTATTATAAAAGAATACGATAAAGGATACAGATGAACATCCAGATGGAAGAGACGCATAGGGCAGGGTATATGGGAAGGGGCATAGAGCTCCGATGCCTTCTCTGGGCGCATCTTTCTCCCCAATACCCGCATGTGTTCACTGGCCTGAAAGCTCTCTGAACACTGTACCTTTGGGATTTTTACGGAGGTTTCATCACATAGGCGTGAAAGGTCATTAACTCCATTTTTCAGCCCTTCTTCTTCTCAAGAGAAGGGGCAGGGCAGAGCTGAAAATTTCAGGCTTCTAATCATGGCTTGGTCTTTCAGGTGACCAGCTCTCATCCAGGAACTCACCCAGAGCCACCTCATTAAAACAAAAGACACTTCTATCACCCAAGGAATTATGAGGGTTTCAGGAGATCTGTGCCAGGAATTGGGGGCAAAGACCAAATATATATTTCTATTACCTCGCAGAATGACTCTGAGTCAACAACTAACAACCACTGCACCATTCCAGAACTTCAAAAAGTCAGAAATGGTGAGCTCATGGTGTGCAGCCTTTCCCTTCCCCTCCCCGCAATCACAGGCGCAGTAGCTGTCTCCCCAATATCATTTCTGTTTGAGAAAGCTGGTTTCACCTCTGGCCTGGGGGTGGGATGAGCCTTTGGCTCACGCTTAATTCAATCAGTTCAATCTCGTCCCCTGGCCACTAATATTGGTTCCATGATGGGCAGATGGCATCATCCGGACCGATGAGACACAACGAAGTTTTTTTCTAGGGGCTTCTGGGGGAAATATTTTCCTTCTCTTTTGAGGAGCTTCTTAAAGTCTATTCTCTTCCTTTCTCTCTTCCCTCCACAGTCTCCATCAGTCTGGCTCTCTCAGCCTATTCGTCTGTCTTTTTCTCTCTATATTCCTCCCAAATGTGAAGGAAGAGTGTGGCCCCAGGGGTATTTGCCAGCCATCCTGCAACATGAGGGGAGCTATTTATTCTTAGGACAGAGAGATGAACAGACCATGCTGAAGCCAGCCATATCTGAGACTTTTCTTATACGTGAAATGATTTTCTTTCTCTTAAGCCAGTGGGGTTGGATTTGCTCTCACTTTCATGAAAACTCTAATGGATAAAGTACTCTGGAGTAGGATGGGAACAGAACTACTACTGTAGTGATGTCCTCGGGTAGGAGAAATGATAGGGTCCAAAGAAGGCAAATGAGAACCAAAAGATCTCCCAGGATGCCCTGCACCTGGAACAAGAGGTATTGATTAGAGCCCTCTGCAAAGGGACCTATAGGTTCTTAGGGGCAAAGATAACTCTGAGCTACCCCCAACTCAGCATTTCCAATCCAGGTTGGACACTTCCCTTGCACGTATTTTAACACAGAGACTGTGAGCCCTGGAGGGAGAGAGATAATCCAGGCTGACCACCTCTTTCTCCAATTTACAGAAGGGTAAACAGAATGCAAAAGGAAAGGAGTCACTCAGAGCTGTGGTCCTGGGGACACGGGTTGATAGGAGCTTGGGTCGCGAAAACAGAGAGGATGCTGGGAGCTGGGCACTGAGGACAGAAAAGACGTCTGGAGCTGAAGTCCCTTGGTGGGCCTGGATGTAGAATGTTTTGGCACCGACGGAGACAAAGAGCAAGATTTTCGTAGTCGGCATATCTCAACTCGCAGAGGTTGAGCTCTCTTACCTTCCACGGTTTCTCACTCTTCCTGAGTCCTCAGGGTGATAATCCCCACCGGTCGACAGGGTCCCACAGAAGTGGGCTCAGGGAGCCCCGCCCCCATGAGGGAGAAGGGATCCAAATCTGTGAGTCAGCGCAACGAGGGAGAGACAGAGACACACAAAGAGAGACTGGGGCGGGAAGAGCAGGGGAGCGGGGTGGGGAAGTTGGGCGCTGGAGCCTGGAAGGCGTCCGCAGGCGCCTCTCGCTCCTTGGGGCTCAGGACTCGGGCTTCCTTCCAGTCGGTTCACTTTCAGGGGACCCCTCCCGCGTAATAATGCGGAAACACGGGGTGTCAGGGACAGGACAGGAGGGAGGGTGGGACCTGACTCCAGCTCAGCCCAGTCCTGCCCCGGGAGGTCCTGGACCTGCCCTAGCGGGAGGCGGCTGCCTTCCCTCTCAAGGTGGTTAGGCTCGCAGCCTGTCACGTGACACTTTCACCTTCACTCACCTATCCGCAGAACACTCCTCACACCTTTCCCACGAAACTCTCTCCCTCCCTTCGTGCTCACACCCTCACACACTCTCCTCATACGACACCCCCCACACACGCACAGTCCCCCACACACCCAAACCGTCGCACCCAGCTGCCTGCCTCCCACCCCCTGACCCCCACACAACGCCCGCTCCCTCGCACGGCCTCCCAGCGACACCCCCATACCCTCGCCGTTAACACGCGCACTCACTCTCACACACGAACACTTTCACACGATGTCCTCGCCCTCGCGCGTCACCTACACACTCTCACAACCTCTGCCCTCACCAGGCACCTCGCGTTGGCCCCGGCCGCGTCCCGC